TTGAAAGAAGGAGGGTGAAAGCCAGGCCCGAAGTGGCCGCGGGAACAGGTGGCGCGTGGGGCAGAGTGGTGCCGCGTGGAAAGGAAATCAAGGGGAGCGAACACAAGCCAAAGAGACCTCGGTTTGTAGCATGCACGGTGCCTCTTGGCCAAAAGCTTACCCACGCGGGCACTGCATCGTGAGGGGCGCGGGGAGGCAGAAGACTGAAGCCGCCGCGTGCCCACGCCGCGTTCACCCACGATCTGTGGGGCCGAAAGACGGGAGCGGTGTGGGGTGTGGGCAGCGATCTGGGGCTGTGGGGACCCCCCCCCCGCCCCAGCACCCTCAACTGAGAAGCCCCAGGTCCAGCTGCCAAGAGAAAAGAAAACCCACGTCCCTTTGCAAAACCGCAGTGGGAAAGGCTGAATCGGCGGACCAGATCTAAGCTACCTAAGATTCCTCCCCGTTTGCCAGTCGGACTAGACTTGAAAACAAACGTGCATTTTCGCACACTTTATTATGGACCACATTCACGTACTGAATATTTAAATTACTACTAACATGCTCTTCCTTTCCCTAACCTCTTTTATTGTTTCATGAAAGTTTTTGTCAGCTGGGGATTTAGCTCAGTGCTTCTGCTGCCTGTCTCACAAGCGCAAGGTCTCAAGTTCAATCCCTGATACCAAAAAAAAAATTCTGAAAGTTTTTCTTCATTAGATCTTAGCTTTACTTATTAGATAAAATGTTTCCACTCTGAGAATATGAATGATATGTGATGACATAAAGTTTTCCCCCATGGTCTTTATTTACTGTAAATGTTTTTTTTAAAAAAATCCTTCCTCTTGTATCTCTCTTTTGGCAGTCTCTGCACCACACACATTGTATTGTTTGTTAGCACAGCCATAATAAACTACCAGAGTGCCGGGGGCTCAGCCATTTAAAATTTATATTCTGGAGCCTGGAGACTTCAAGTTAAGGTATCAACAGAGTTGTCTTTCTTTCACTCTGCATTTGTTTATATTTGTATCTATTATTTTGAGACAGATCTCAGTATATTGCCTTGCCAGTCCTCCTGCCTCAGCCTCCCGAGTGCTGGGTCTGCAATCCCATGCCTCCCTGTCCTCCATGCCACACTTGGGCTGGTTGCCTCTGAAGCCTAGTTCTTGATCAGGAGGTGGCCATCCATATCAGTCAGTGCTCGCTAGAGCAGCAGATCTAATATAAGACATATAAATAAGGATTTACAAGTAGGCTTACAATGGCCGCCCACAGAGTCAGGAAGGGAGGAAAGGTCCATCACGTGCGGAGATCCGAAGGTGTCAGGGAAAGGGCTAAAACAGTGTAAGACCGAGGGCCTTACCAAATGCTCCAAGGAGCTGACTGCGGCGACGAACACCCGGGAAGGAACACACCGGACAAGTTGGAAAATAAAACAGACCTTTATTAGTCTGGCCAGACGGCACTCCCAAAGCAAAGTGGCTAAGAGAGGCAACTGGCTCAGAGTCCAAGGCTGTTTTTATAGGGGGTTGAGGGGGAGGTTAACATGTAGATTTACGGAAAAAAAGGAACAAAGGTTGGTGGTCGACTGTCATGTACTAACGGTCAGCAGACACACAGTAATGGTCACGACCATATGGTCACGACCATATGGTCACGACCGTCACGTACTGATGATCAGCAGACACAGTGATGGATTGTTCTACCGATAGTGGGTCTGGGAATTTTCGTTCTCCGGACAAACAAGGGGTTGAATGATTTACTTAGGAACTTTGCTTTGTTACAGATTTTATCTACTATCTCAAGACTAACAAGCACATTCTAACCATTAAATTTTAAACACAAGAGAGACTAGGGGAATAATTGAATTTTGAATCATACAGTCCCACAACAGCGAGTCATTGAAGTGCATGTGTTTGCTACTTGACCTCAGCTGCGTGCCATTTCTCACAGGGTGGGGGGAGGCTGGCCACATGCGCGCCGCGGGAAGGAAATGTTATTTACAGAGAGCCTCAACGATGGCACTGTGGCACTGTCAGTGTGAGTCCTCGGCTGTAGCCGATACTGAGCCCCTCCAGCCACGCAGGCCCACCAGCACCGGCTCGTTTGTCTGAACACCATGCTTACGGAACTGGATGTGACACAGCGTTTTCTCTCTGGCCTGCCAAAGGCTCTATCTCACACAAGATCCTTCCCCAGAGGATTCCCCTCATCTCTGCCTCAATGAATGTTAATGTGTACTTGACTATGCTCATATCTGCTGTACTTTTATAGTAAATTTACTTTCATCTTATTTAAATCACTGTATGGCTCTTCTCTGTTCACACGGATCTGAAACTCAAGTTTCCATGGCCACTGTGTGTGACTCCTTGCTGCCACTGAAGGATTCCAGTCAGAGGCCTGGAGCTCCCTGCAGATCCCCATGCGCATCCCCATCAGGAGGCCCAAGGGTCTGAATGGAAGCAGAAGGCCCCGCGCTGGACACCAGGAGATGACGTCCAAGGTGAAGGTGCAGCCCGGAGCTTCTCCAGAAACAGAAGAGAGCCCTCCTCCTTTGTTCCCCTTTTTATTCCATTCAGGCCACAGGCCTATTGGCTGCTGTCACTCACACCCGGGGTGGGTCTGGGTCTTCTGGCTTCAGTGACTCCCATCAGCTACACCCAGAACGAAGCTAGTTCGGTTAGTTGGGTGTTTCTCACTCAAGTTGACAAAACAGTTAACTATCACATCATCTCCTGCCTGTGTCTGGGCTGGTCTTTCTTCTGTCTGTGTCCTAATCACTTCTTATACAGAAATCAGTCCTACAGGATTAGGGCCCATGAGAAGGATGTCATTTAATTTAATGACCTCTGCAAGCCCTGTCTCCAAGTATAGTCACATCCTGAGCTACTGGGTAGTTACAAGTTAAACACACACCTTTGGCAAGAGGGTAGGGACCTTAGTTCTTAACACATATATCCAGGAATCAGAAACTAACCAGGTGTGGTGGCACACACTTGTAATCCCAACTACTGTGGAGGCTGATGCAGGAGGTTCACAAGTTCAAGGCCAACCTAAGCAATTTAGCCAGACCGTATCTCAAAGTAAAAATGGCCAGGGGTGTTGCTCAGAGCAAGGCCCTGGGTTTAACCCCCAGTACTGGGGCAAAAACAAATGCTAAACTGCATGCTGTAAAGATGTAATGGACATAGCTTCTCTATCCCTCACACTGAGTACAGCTAACAACCCTAGCCAGGCTGGCTGTGTTCTTCCACTAGGCAGTCACTAACCCTGACCCTTTCCCTGTTCCCTACACTTTCCCCAATTCTATCTTAAAATAAAGCTGTCTTTGTGTACCACACTAATTCTTCTTGTGTTTAATTTTTAAAATGTTCTGCTACTTTGTATTTTCCCATCTTTTGTCCTTTTGTGTCTATGACCCTTTCCCCCTTCTTCCCTTCCTTTCCTCTTTCCCTTTCTTTTTCTCCTCCTCCTCTTCCTTTGTCCCCCCCCCCACCTTTCTTCCTTCTTGGTGGACTTTTGGATAGAGACACAACAGGTCTATCTTTAGTCCACCATCTGGTCTATCTCTGATTTCCATTATGCTGAGGATGGGCAAAGTGGCAGGGTGGGCATGAAGAGAGCACCAGCATTCTGTTCATATAAAACTTCCAGGACTCGGCATCCACCTAGGATGCAGAAAGCTAAAGAGTGTTGCTCCTAACCTAACAAAGAAAAATCCAGGTAATGCAAAAATACATAACTTTCCTTGATCCCATGAGAGCTCAGGTCTCAGAGTAACCAAATAGTTTAAAATCTAAGGAAAAACAGATGCGCCCAAGCAGAAATGAGACACGAATAACAGTTCACACATTGCATGGGATGAAAAGGGTCCTCCACTCAAGAAGCTAAGAAAAATTCAGCTAAAATTCAGTGTCTTATGAACTGCTCCAATTAAGTGTGGACACAGAGGAAATTCTAGAAATCCTAGGATCAAGTACTCAAGCTGAGCTTGCACATTCTTGTAGAAAATATAAGAAAAAATGGGATTAGCACTGCTCTCCCTCAAAACAAAACAAACAAACAAACCCTGAGAAATTAGGCCTTTTCCAAATGAAAGAGTTCTCTGCAGAGAAAATAAAAATATATTCTAAACGGAAAGTATATTCACAAAAGACATATCTGATCGTTGTGATGTGTCCAAAACGTAAAGAACTCTCAAAACTCAACAATAAGAAAAGAATTTGAAATGGGCACATGTTATGTTAGAGCACACTCTTGAATAGTACTTATGACTGTTAGTAAACCCCTGAAAGCATGCTTCACTCTTTCGGGAAACGCGAATTAAAACCACAGCGAGGCCCTAATACAGATCCAGTTGAATGGCTGCACCTTTTAGGAGTCGAAAACAGCCGGTGTTGGCGAGGACGCAGGGGACTTCACCCTCACTGCTGGTGGGGACCCAAAGCGCTTTGGCTGCCAGGGAGGCCAGGCGGCAGGGCCGGCTCAGGTGGCCCCTGCAGAAGGACGGAGGGGACCCGAAAGCAGCGAGGGGCGGTGACAGCTCTGCAGCCCTCGGCCCAGAAGAGGGGCAGAGCAGCGGAGCGGTGCAGCCTGTCCTTCCGGGGCCTCCGCTCCGCTATCCCCGGGGCGGCTCCCCTCTGCCTCCCCGTCGGCCTGGGTCCCACAGCGGCGCCCCCTCCCGGACGCCGCCTCCTTCCGCGGCTCCTCCATGGCGAGGCTGGAGCTGCTGGATTCCCGGCTCCGAAGAGGGGAGCCGGGCGGCGCGCCTGGGAAGGAAGGGCTCGGACCTCGCTCCCCGGCCAAATTCCTGCAGAATTCAGGTCTCTGGCAGTTTGGGGCGGGTGCCGCCTCCCCCGTCCCATCCCCCAAAGCACCCCGCTGTCTGTTCCGGGCAATCTGTGCGCCGGCGCTTGGGCAAAACAGTGAAACTGTACTCTATCGCCGTGTCCACGACCGTTAGCTTTAAGAGCGTTTAAACTCGAGTATGCAAAGCCATGAGTAAAACGGCGAGCAGCGCCTCCTACCGGGAGTGGGGTTTGAACCCACGCAGACTTCTGGCTGTTGGATCTTGAATCCAACGCCTTAACCACTTGGCCATCCCAGTAACTACCAGTGAGCTTCTTTTCTATTTGTAATTTTTTATCTTTGAAGGACTGTAAGGAGGTCCTGTTTGTGAAACTTGAAGTTCAAAGGGGTGTTACAAACCTTGCAATATTTCTTTTAGAAAGAAATGAAAGAAACATCTTTAACAAGGCCTATTTTACCACTCATTTTGCCAAACATCATGCTAGGTGTTAGGGGACGACAAACTATCCCTGACCCCAGGGACTTGCAGTCAAATAAGGATTATAATTTTAAGAACAAGAAAGCACAGGACACGTTAGGGATAGTCACCTTTCCAGACCGTCCTCTGTCAGCACTTAGGATCCAGGAAGAAAAAGCAAAGGGGAGAAGGGGTGGGGACTCCAGCCACCTAGATCACCCCCGAACCCCACTTCGTGCTGCTGCCCCAAACAGTTCTGCCCGCTGAGTTCCAGCTCCCCCGAAGGAAACTCGTTGGATCTGAGGGCTCTCTGTCCGGGCCCAGGGGCGCCCGTTACACCCAGAGGAGCTCCCGGAGGCGCCGTGGTGAGCCCTGTGCACACCCTGGAGGCTGAATCCAATCCACCGACTTGAACACGCGCGCCTTTGCACCCCGCGTCCCGGCTGCCGCCGCTGAGACCTCTCCCTGAGCCCTCGAGGACCTGGAAAGCTCTGCAAGCTGAGCAGGGGAAGGAACTCACTGGGAAGCAGGCCCGCCAGGCACCTGAACGTCTGTGAGGAGCCCTAGAGCCAGAGAGGAAGCTAGATCCTGAGGCAGGGTGGGGGTAGATTTCCGGTGCAAACATCAGAGGAACAAAAGTAAGCGCCCCTCTGTTATCTGGGTGCCCGGAAGAACGGGCTTCATGGGGAGAAGGTTGCATCCGCTCCACCACGCGAGTACGGAAGATTAATTCCTCGGACTCGGCGCCCCTGCCTCAGAAAGAATCCTGCGCTTCTCGAACTCACCGAGCTCGGAGGCTCACCGCCGGGTCCCCAGCGCCTGCACCCTTCAGTGCCTCGGGCAGGAAAGGACCTGTCGGAGGAGGAGGGTTCCATATGGTGGAATCACATATAGATTTTATAAAATATGCTTTTTTAGAGTTTAAACACCTATGTATGATAGCCAAAAAGTTAATAGAAATACATGTAGAAAATATCTTTATGACCCAAAGGACGGAAAATAACTTTTTAAAAATCTTTAAAAGCCAACAATTAAGCAAAACACTGATGCAGTTTGCTCCACCTAAATCTAACATATGTTCAAGGAAGGCCACAATAGAAAAATAAATAGGCATGTGAAAGTGGAAGACACTGGAAATATTTTTAAATGACAAGATCTCGATATATAAATAAGAAGACACAAAAAATATCAAGATTGTTAGGAAACAGGTAAAGAATAGGAACAGGGATTCATCAAAAAATTCAGAAAATATTAAATGCATTTTAAACACTTAATATTATCAGCAATTTATAAAATCCAAAACAAAATGAGGTCTTACTTGGCTACTTTAGACTGGCAGAATTGGAAAGCTGGGCTGCACGTCGATGGCTGCAGGAATGAGGATGTGGTAGCGCTCATATCCTGCTGGCAGAATTCATACCCTCGCCAGCGCTCTGGCACTGTGCGCTAGGGAGACGCCCCTGAAGACTGGCCGCGCCCAGACGCCCCTCCCAGCTGTGTAGGGCCCCGCACAGCCAGCGTCACAGGTCCAGGCCGAACCCCATGTGGATGTTAGCGGTAGCAGTGTTTTGGTCTTTCAGAAGGAGATGCACTCTTGAAGGCATAACGGGACAGTGAATAAAGAGACATCAGCGCGTCATACTGGCCACAGGGGAGTACGGGGGAGTGGAGGGGTGCGTGTAACAACACGTCATTCTACACAGACATTTTTAAAACTTCAGCTTTCTTCCTCTCTCATACTCTTGATTTCTTGTCACACAGCCTTGCATAGACACTGCCCCTCCCCTTGTTTCAGACTCATTTAGGAACCGCTGCTCGAGGGACTGAGCCTCACTCCCCTCGGGACAGGCACGGTGCGTGGCGGGCTGTGTTCACGGGTGGCAAACTGGGCTCGAAGGATGGGGGAGGGAGGGAGGACAGGGCAAGCAAAGAAGGGTAAATTTAAGGTTCGCTTTTTAACTACCATACAAAAGTAAAGCAAGCCCGAGATGGGTGTTTCTGTAGTGTAGTGGTTATCACGTCTGCCTAACACGCAAAAGGTCCCCGGTTCGAAACCGGGCAGAAACATAGGCTGTAACTTTTGTGAAACACTGGTCTGAATCTATTCCCATTTCAGCCAAGTCTCAGACCAATTTTCCCTTTCAGCGTGGGGCAGCAGGACACGGAGACGTTCTTCCTCACCTGTCCCCAGGCAAAAAGGCAAAGGGCAACGACTTCGGAGAGAGGACAGAGCAGGGCACCCTTGTTGGGCTGGCCCTAGAGGACTTTGCGTTTTACTCTGAGCACACATGGGGAGCTGGGCTTGCAGCAGGGAAGCCAGATCCCTGCACCAGCTCTGGGGAGAGGGTTTCAAACAGAGAGGACAGAGGAGAGATGCTAAGTCCCCGAGGCCAGAGCATCCAAGCTCAGCCAGGGACAGGGGAGGGAAGGAGCTGAGGCAGCTGCGTTTTCCAGGCAGAGCCAAGAGGATTCCTGAGAAAATGGAGGTGAGGAGTGAAAGAAAGAGTGAGGAAGCTTCTTCCCAGAAAAGCTGTACAAATGAAGCTGTCAGTAACCACATCAAGAAAGAGCTGGAGTGGCAGGATATTGGGGACCTGCGGACCAGCACATGCACCCTGCTGTCTGGCAGGAATGGACAGGTCGGACAGGCGAAGCTGGAGTCCGGTGGAGTGGTCGGCTACACTCGAATTATGAGCGGCACCTCGGCAGACATAATCCAAGCCGGGCAGATAAATGAGGTAGCCAGAGAGGGTATAGGGACCACACCCTGAGACACCCCATGCTAAAGGTGGCTGCTCCAAAGGATCGGAGGGGACAGGACTGTCACCAGGGTACTGAGGAGGAGGAGCCAGCAAGGCGAGAGACAAGCAGGGCTGCAGTGTCTCAGGAGTCAACTAAAGAAAATGTCTTGAGAAGGGTAAAGTACCTGTTGTCTCGAGAAGACAGGACAGGACTAGGGGTGGAGGCCCTGTTCTGTGTTTGCTCTTTGCCTGTGACCACTAGGCAAGCACTCTGCTGCCAGCCACACCCCAAGCTCCCTGGTGACCTGGACCAGAAGTCTCTGAGCAATGGTGATACCAAAATCCTGAAAGTTTTGAAGAACAGGAGAGAACACAGCTAGTAAATGTGGATAACTCTTTAGAGATTGTTAAAGAGGTCATCGGAGAAATGGGCCATTACCTAGAGCCAGAGGGTGAGTCCAGAGAAGCTTTTAAAAGACAGGGTCAAGCGGCACATTTGCATGTTCACTGGAATAACTGCTAGGATAAACTTGCTGGATGCAGTGAGGATCAAACTGTCCTGAAGTCAAACCACAGTTCCTTCACAGCGGCGTGAGAAGCCACACGCCCTTGAGGAGATGAGGAACTTTTGAGAACTCTGAGAGCAACTTGTCGCCCATCCAGCTCCACTCCACGTTTCTCTTCTATTTTTACTTTTCAGGACAGAGACGCAAAGGCTGGCCCTGGAATAGCTCTGCTCAAATGTAAGAAAGCTCGTGAGGAGTCTGCCCTGGACCTGACTTGGTGATCACCAGCTTGCCCTGTGGTTGATCCCACTTAGCAGACACTGCTCGCCTCTGCCTCCTGTGACAACAGTGACCGACCAGGCTCTGGGGAAGTGGCCTATTTCCTCACAGGGGACTCTGACCGTTCAACTCGCCTCACAACTCTCAAAGGCAGTCCCTCAAGGAGACCTACAAACCATGCCTCACCCCCCAAACTCGATTATGAGGTAGAGTCCTTGTGGATTTTCATGGGGGAAGTGGAACCAGAAAAGCAAAGATAATTAGAAACCAGACGAGATATTTGGAGATGTGAGCCCAGGACATTTACTGATTCCCAACTATCCCAATTGCTAAAACAGATCAGCAAACTCCTGTCCTCAGTGGAGGTCAAGACCCGCTAGAGATCTTGTGAAATCAAGACCCTTCCAGCTGGAGTGACTCCAGCTCCACTTGGGGTCCAGATCCTGGGAGGAGAGAAGGGAACCGGAAGGAGCTAACAGCAGTGGGCCCTCCTGTGAAATTCAGAAAGGGAAGCTGCCTTTGCCTGCCAGTGGACGGGTCATGTGAAGGGCCCCGCTTCAGGTAATGTTGCTCCCCTCTCCCTCCCTCTTTAAGCAAATGTGCTCTTTTCCTCAAAGAAGAAGTTGACCATTCATTCAGTGAACCCGTGTAGACGTGCTCTGTGTGTATGGGGCTTACTAGGCCTGGGATGATACCTGTGAACCAAGCAGAAAAAAATATTTCTTTCTAGTGGCAAAATTACAACAATTTTTTAAGAAGAAGGTAAACTGTTAGATCATGTGATAACATATGTTAAGGAGAAAAATTGTCAGGATAGACACTGGGCTTGAGTTTGATCTTCCACCTCTAAAGAAAGAGAATACTGGTGATATCTGAGCAAAAATCTGAAGGAAAGAAATTAGTCCAAGGGAGCCCTTCAGACAGGAAATAGTGCCCCAAAGACCCGGACGTGGAGAGTACTCCGTGTTTTGGAGGAATAGCAAATAAAGTTACCTCGCTGAAGTAAAATGAATTTTTAATGAAAACGAAAACCTTAGATGAGCAAGCAAGTGACTCCCAGTAGTATAGTAATACTTCCTCTTCAGTCCTCTGATCTATTTCCTTCACTCTAAATTGTAACTTAAGGCCAGTTTTTTACAAAGAAAAACCTACCTTGGCCCGTACGGGGATCGAACCCGCGACCTTGGCGTTATTAGCACCACGCTCTAACCAACTGAGCTAACCGGCCATGTGTGAGATTGTCGTTCTTCTAATTTGGGAATGTTTGTGCATAATCTGGGCTGGCTGAGAGCAAGCTCTCCCTCTTCCCAAAACGGCTAGTTTCCGCCACGCTCGCCCAACCTCTTTCCCGTCTCCCTACTGCTCTGCGCGGAGCGCCGCGGCGGGTGGAGCATGCGCCTGTCCCCGGCACACGCGAGGAGCGGTTTCCTGCTGCACCCGGGCGAACGCAGCCTAGCCCGAGGATGGGTGTATGTGGGGGCGGGTGCGTGTGGGCTCGGGCAGGGCACCCGCGCGCCCGGCGGCCTCTCGGGAGGAGCCGGAGTCCAGGCCCCAGGGCAGAGAGCCCCGCCACCGCGCCCGGCTCCGACCGACAGGGCGGGCCCGCCGGGGTCCACGGCCAACGGGCAGCCAGGTGTACAGGAGGTGACCCGGGCCAGTACTGGGAATCAGAACGGAAACAAGTTCACACTCGTGCCTATGGCGTTCGTGCAGTCTCAGCAAGGCAAGGAAACACATGAATTATCTGGCGAACAGGACCCAGGAAGCGCGGGAGTGAAGTCGGCGTGCGGTGGGGAGAGGCGGATGAGGACCTTTAATGGAGCGATGGAGCGTGATCCGGCCAGAAAGAGGGCCCGGCCCTGCCACGGAAGAGAGTTCAGAAACAAGCCTCGGCGCTCCCTCCAGCTAAAGAGTTACAGGGGAGCAGGGAGCGACGCAGATCAATTCGTTGGGAGCAAAAAGGGTCGCAGATATTCCACAGAACATCAATCAACAATGCAACATTAAATACATCATGCATATATAGTCCTGTGCATACATGCTTAGTACAGAGCGAAGGAAATGTGAGTGAGCGGCGGAGACATGGGGCGCGCGGCTTCGGGTGCCGCATCACCTGTCCACACCCACACCCGCTTCCGCTCCAGTCTTCTCCAGACGAGGGTTCGCCTGGCAGGCACTGCAGATGGATCCCAGGGCTTATTTTTTGAGTCCTGTTTCCTTTTCAGGTCACTGGCTTACATTGAAAAGGTGCAAATCAGAAGCTGCACAATAACAAGAAGTCATTTAGATTCAAGTGCCTTCCAGGAGGTTGGAGGCTTTGGAGAAGAATGCAGCAGCTTCTATGCAGAAGAAGGGACCTAAAACAGGGCCCAAGCACAGAGTGGGCGACCCTGGTTAAAGTCCAACAGGAAGAGGCAGGGGTGGGAAGTGCTGTCAGACAGATGGGTCTCCCTTCTTCGAGTTGCACCTGGGACTTCCTTCCCTCGATGCAGGGTGGAGAGCAGCTGGGAGGAAATCAAAGTCTCTTGGAAACACACGAAGCAAAAGGCCAGTGCACTGGATGAGGCACTGAGGATTCCATGGCGAAAACGCACTGCACTATGCTTCCAGCCCTCAGAGGGCATGGGTACAGAGGGCTGTGAACAGGTGAAAAAGAAAATTCATTCAGGAGATAAATTGACAGCTCCTGCTTTCACAGCTAAAACCGAGAAATGACGTCCACTAGCAACACTAACCACAGTTCAGGGGAACAAAACCCGCAGAGGTGCTGGAAGCAAACTTGAAACTTCTCAGTTGCTAGAACCACACTGAGCCCAGCTGAACTACTCAGTCACGCCACACCCCATGGACCTTCCTCTCATGGTGGCCTTAGGCCACAAGGATGCCCCTCCTTGCCTTCATAAACCCTTAATAAAATGATGAGAGATTTTCAACGCAAACAAGCAAACCGGTTTTAGACATTAGCTCATGAGCTTGACAGAGGTCATCAGGCACTTTCCCACTTGCAGGGTCTGACCTGACAGGTAGTCCTGGGAATAGGCTGCCCCTCCCAAGTGACCTCATGACTGTGCCCCAGGTGTGGGTGACTTGCTGAACTCGAGCGCAGGCGCGGCCTGCAGTGAGCAGGCCCATTTCAGCCTGAGGACAGTCGGCCGCTCTGACTCCACTCCATGATCCTTCCCCGTATCTCTCCAGTCTCATTTCCCAGCAGGTCCGTGTGTGGAGATGTGGCCTTCCTTCCTGTTTGCTTCCGCTTTCCAAAGTCTGAGCAGGTACACAAACGGCATAGCCACTTTGGAAAACAGTTCAGCAGTTTCTTAAAGAGTTATATACAGCCAGGTGTGGTGGTTCACACCTGTAATCTCTGCACATGGGAGGCTGAGGCAGGAGGATCACTGTAAGTTCAAGGCCAGCCTTGACTACATAGCAAGACCCTGTCTCAAAAAACAAGAAAAGTTATATATAATTCTAATATATGATCCAGCAACTCCACATGTATGGAGAAATGAAAACATATTCCTACATAAAGCCTTGTACATAAATGTTCATAGTAACATTATTCAAAACAGCAAAAAGAAATAATTCAAATGTTCCTCCACTGATCAACAGATAAATAAAATGTCATATAGTCATGCACCAGAATATTATTCAGCCATAAAAAGAAAAAATTAGGGGCCGGGAATTTAGCTCAGTGGTTCTGCCACCTGCCCTGAGAACGCAAGGACCCGAGTTTGATCCCCGGTACAAAAAAAAAAAACAAAAAACTAAAGAAAGAAAAAATTAATACCTGCTACAGTATTGATGAACCTCAAAAACATTATGCAAAGTGGAAAAAAGCCAAACATAAAAGACCACACATTAGCCTGGAGTGGTGACCCACACCTGTATTCCCAGCACTCTGGGAAGCTGAGGCAGGAGGATCAGAAGTGTGAGCCCAGCCCTGGAAACGTAGTGAACCTGTCTCAAAATAAAAAGGGGCTGGGGTGTAGCTCAGTGTGAAAGCCCTAGGTTTAATCCTTAGTACCACATCTGACATGTTCCAAATAGGCAAACCCACAGAGAGAGTAGATCCGTGGTTGTCTAGGGAGAGGAGTGGGAATGGGAATTGAGTGCACACAGGCAGGAAGAGTTTAGTGGGGCCCCATGAGCGGAAAGACAATTCAAGGGCTTCCTAGGATCCTCCAAGTCCGATGATGGTGGCTCTTGTGGCTGTGTCTAGACGTCGCCCAAAGCCTCGTGCGGTCACAGGTGGGGCTTCTTCAGAGGTGGCTGGGTCTAGAGTGTGTGACACTGGAACTGAATCCTGGTGCAATACTAGGCTCCAGGGCACTAGGAGTAAGGACATGAGCACTACCCACCCTGGGTAGCCTGGATAAGATAGAAGGGGCAGGAAGATGGTAAGGTCCCTTGCTGCTTGTGCGGTCTCCTCTGCGATGCCCCTCTGCCACGCGGCAGTCTGCCTTGGAGCCAGCTGACTGTGGACCAAAACCTTGACAGTGAGCTGAAGAAACCTTTCCTCCTGTGGGTGTCCAATATATTCTCTCAGCAATGAAAAAAGTGACTAAGACAGTGGCTTAGAACTGACAGCACTGGAGGTGGGGAGAAGGCATCAAGTTCTGTGTATACTTTTAAAATAAAACCAGCAATGCTACCTGATGGATTATCCATTCACTCAGCAAATATTTGTCAATGGCCACTACGCCCACAGTTTTAGGAGCTGGTTGGCAAAATATTGGACAAAAGAGATGACAGTCCCCATTGTCATGGTGCTTACTTCCTTGTAAAAGAGAGACAATGACCATATAAATTTAAAAATATGTAGATTGCTCCTCATAGGGACAACTGCCTTGGAAAAGAATACAGAATAGAAGTAGAGGAGTACAGGGCCACAGGTCTTGACATTTCCAAAACTCTGATTGTGGAACCTTTCCGAACAGACAACATCAGAGATGCCACTGAGGCGAGGGGACTGGGGGACCCCAGGCTCCTGGACAAACAGCAGCTGCCCAGGGGCCCAGTGGGCTGCAGGGGCACGGAGGCTGGTGGATGCTGAGCAGCCAGAAGGGCGGCTGGACCGGAGGGGCTTGTGAGACCCGAGACTGGGATGGGGGAGACAGGGCCGAGAGGGTGCTGAGGCTGGACGGGAGCGGGAGCGTCGGGGCCAGCGCGGCTGAAGCCGGAGGACAAGCGGGGCAGGGGAGGCCGGCACAGAGACGGGGTACGGACGCCCGCGTCCTGTCCCGCGGCCGCGATTCCAAAAGACGCCTGACTCTGGAGGCGTCGAGAAACTGGAGCCTCTGCCGAGGGACTGATAAAAAACCAGAGCCCGCCAGGGAGCGCACGCGGCGGCATGGCCCGGGAACCCTGGCTGCGCGCTCTGCTCCTGCCCTGGCTCTGCGGGCTCTTGGCTCAGGGGACGCAGGGGCTGCGGGCCGCGGGGTTCCGGGCCGGCCTGAGCCGCTCTGCCTCGGCCCGCCCTGCAGCCCTGCTCCTCCGGCGCCTGGGCGAGCACGTGCGCCGGCTGCCGGGCAGCGCGGGGGACCCGGGCCCCAGGGAGGGGTGGCTGCAGCAGCCGCTGGACCCCTTCAACGCGTCGGACGGCCGCACCTTCCTGCAGGTGAGGCTCTGGCTCCAGTCCCCCCGCACCTCGCCTGTCCCCTCACTCTGCGGGCTTTCTGGTCCCATTCTGTCCTTCGCTCTGTACCTCTCTCGCTGTCCTTCCGTGCCGCCTCCCCGCCTGTCCTTTAGATCACCCCGAAATCCTGGCCTGCACGCTAGCAGAAGTGAGACTCAGACTGGAGCTCAGGGAGCATCGGAATCTCCCGGATGAAAGAACGGACCCCGCTGCTCAGCCCCCACCCCCACTCCCACCCCCTCTTCGCACCTGGGCCCAGCCCCCAAACCCCCCGGAATTCAGGAGTAAACCTGAAGGGCCTTCCGGGCGTCAGCCACCCCCAGTCTGGACCGCAGGCCCAAGAGACTTGCTTTGGGGCGGGACGCCTCGGCAGGGATGAGCACACACTCGCCCGCCCGGCGCGGGTCGGAGCGGCGGGCGCTCAGTAGGCCCTTCCCTCCGCCCCCTGCAGCGGTACTGGGTCAACGACCGGCACTGGGCTGGGCAGGACCGACCGGTCTTCCTGCACCTGGGGGGTGAGGGCAGCCTGGGCCCTGGCTCCGTGATGACAGGTGAGGGTCGGGGACAGGGCGGGCGGCTGCATGTGCAGCTGAGGGCAGTGGGCCCTGAAGCCACTCGGCCATGCTCTCCCCAGGGCACCCCGCAGCCCTGGCCCCGGCCTGGGGCGCCCTGATCATCGGCCTGGAGCACCGGTTCTACGGCCTCAGTGTACCGGCTGGGGGCCTGGGCCTGGCCCAGCTCCGCTACTTGTCCAGCCGCCACGCGTGAGTGGGCGGGGGCGGGTGTTGGCCACCTCTTGCGCGGTCCCCCACTGCCCACGTCCGCTGTCCGCTTCCCTCCGGGTGCGTCCGCACCGCAGGCTCCCCAGCTAAGCCGGCTCCAGCGGCAACCATCCCCGGGGTGGGGAAGCCACCGGGCCTCGGAGGGAGCGGCTGCAGGCATCCGGGTGCCTCTGTCCGCTCCGGGCGCTCCACTTTGGGCTCGCACGCATCCCGCTGCGGGCCTCTGCCCGCCTGACCCTCCCGGCTCGCCTCCAACTCCTCCCGGTATCTAAACTGCCTGGGAAGTCGCTGCCCTCCAACCCGACCCGGGAGAAGCGGGCTTTCCGGAAGGGTGCAGGGCGGACAGGCGCGAGCTCCGGGGATGCGGGCGGCGAGCGCGGGCGGCTGGACGTCCTTGGAGCCCGACGACCGCCCGGCTCGCCCAGGCTGGCGGATGTGTCCTCGGCCCGCCTGGCGCTGTCGCGCCTGCTCAACGTGACCTCCGCCAGCTCCTGGGTCTGCTTCGGGGGCTCCTACGCCGGCGCCTTGGCCGCCTGGGCCCGGCTGAAGGTCCGGGGCGCCCTGGGCGGGCGGGCGGGCATGGGTCCCGCCCCGGGGACATCACCCTCCCTCCCGCCCGCCCGCCCTCAGCTCCCGCACCTCGTCGCCGCCGCCGTGGCCTCCTCCGCCCCGGTGCGGGCCACGTTGGACTTCGCTGAGTACAACGCGGTAAGCGCGGCCTAGGCTGGGTGGAGGAGCGGGGCGGGCCTCCTGCGCCCCTAACCGCCCGCGCCCCCAGGTGGTGTCCCGGAGCCTGGCGAGCCCGGTGGTCGGCGGGTCGCCCCAGGTACTAGCTGCCCTAACCCAGGGACCGGGAGGGGCAGGGTGTGGGAGCCGGGCGCGGAGAGGACCAGAGAGGACCAGAGCGTTGCAACCAGACCTCCGGGCTAAGACCCGCGGATCACGGCCCCGGAGGGGCGCCTTATATACAGGGGCCAGAAGGGGCGGGGGAATGGGAGGGGCCCGAGCTGGGGGAGGAGCCAGATGGGCGGTGATGTGGGCCGGAACTCGCCACCTGGAGGTGGCCTAGACCGGTCGAGGCCTGGGAAAGATGAGCCGGGTGGGTTGGGGCTACGGAGGGCGGATCCCCGATCAGGGGGAGGAGCTGGGGGGAAGAGGAGCCGGGAGGGGCGTGGCCACGGGCGGGGCCCGATGGCTGGAGGCGGAGCCAGGGGCTGGGGCCACACCACCGCCCGCCCCCGACACTCCGGCCTGCAGTGCCTGGCGGCGGTGTCCGCGGCCTTTGAGCAGGTGGAGCGGCGGCTGCGCGCGGGAGGGGCGGCGCGGGCGGCGCTGCGCACCGAACTGGGCGCCTGCGGTTCCCTGTCGCACGCCGAGGACCGCGCGGAGCTGCTGGAGGCACTGCAGGCCCTGGTCGGGGGCACGGTGCAGTACGACGGGCAGGCGGGGGCGCCGCTCGGCGTGCGCCAGCTCTGCGGACTCCTGCTAGAGGGAGCGCACAACGGCAGCCACCCCGAGTCCTACCGTGGGCTGCGACAGGCAGCGCAGGTGAGCACATTGCACCCGCACGCACACGCCCCGCACCTGTCCACATACCGGCCCAGAGTTCTTGCTCCACCTCCTCCTCTGAGTTTAGGCGAGCGAGTAGCCCCTCTGATCCTCAGTTTTCCTGTCTGTAAAATGGACAGGACGCCATCGGGGCTGACGTTCTGGCGCGCAGTATGCCAATCGCAGACACTGTTCCGCTGCCTTTCTTGTCGGCCCTCTCCTCTGGGTGTGTAGCAGTGGCCCACGCGCAGCAAGAGCTCTCTTAGCAGTTAAAGAACTAAAAACTGCAGCCCAAGAACGGGGTTCTCCGGGGACCAGCGCGGCCTTTGAGCCCACGGTCACCGTCCAACGGTCACTTTCCGGCCCTGCTGGCCCGGGCGTCAGAGACACTGCACCTGTGTTTCACTGGGTTCCCGGGAGACGGGTGCCGACCTTGTCCCCGTGGGCAGAAGTGGAAACTGAGGTCCGGGACCATCCCTGGCCCAAGGGCTCGGGCGATAGGCCTCACCCCTCTGGGACCTGCGTGCCGCGCTGCCTGAAGCCCGACTGGGCTCGGAACTCATGTGGTCCGGCGGGCGGGACAGGCCCTGCGGGCGCAGAGCAGTGAACGTTGCTGTTCCCAGGTCGTCAGGCACAGCCTGGGGCAGAGGTGTCTCAGCTTCTCCCGAGCACGGACGGTGAACCAGCTGAGAGCCTCGGCGCCCCCGGAGTCCGGCGTGGGTGACCGGCAGTGGCTGTACCAGACGTGTACAGAGTTTGGCTTCTGTGAGTGACTGGCCTCGTCCACACCCCAGGCGTACATTTGTGCCATGCCCGAGGGAAGACGCCTGACAGGCGGCCGGGACTCCTTTGCACTGCTCAGGACCACGACCGGGCTCCAGGCCCGTGTCACCCGCACTTGCTGGGCTGGCAGGGGCGGGCACCGTGCAAGTATGCTCACTCCCGGGGTGTCTGCACCCTCTGCCTCCTTTTAGAGGCCTCCTCCGCTATCCACAGAGTCTCAGTCAGCGTCCTGCCCGTCCGTCCGGGGCAGCCTCTGTCCCTCCCTCCCCTTCCTTTTCTTTCCTCTGCCTCCTCATTGGTCTCCAGGGGTTGCTTCATCCACACAACCCCACTTCCACACAGCACCCAAAGGTGACCTTGCTCTCCTGCCTTCTCGGTGGCCCGAGGGTGGGTTACCAGATAAAATGCAGGATGCACAACTAAATTTAAGTTTCAGAACACCAACAATGTCAGCAATTGTTGCATGTATTAAGAGCAGCTTGTCTATCTGAACATACACATGCTGCTTGTAAGAAGGTTGTCGTGACCTCCCTATGCCTGGGTTTCCCAACAGAAGTGGGACAAAACAGAACTCCCAGGACTGAAGGAAGTGTCAGGTGTAGCATGATAGGAAAGACATGGTTTACAGCAAGCGCTGCATGAGTGCTCGCTGTCACTTTGGCGCTCTTAACACACAGGTGCCCTGGCAGCAGAGGGAGGCTGCATGTGTGGTCACCTGCTTGGCTGGGTTGCCTTCCTCGGCCAGTTTCCTCCTCTGCAGCACAAGCTCCCGCCCCAAACCTCCCACCACCTGGAGATCCCTGCCACCCCCTGGCCGTTCTCAGCTCCCAGCCTTCCCGGGAGCTTTTGGGCCATTGACTGCCCATGCCTGTCCGTCCTGAGTCCTGTGGCAGCAGAGCCTGTGGCTTCTGCTTGCCAGCAGGTGCCAGGACCCGAGCACACCACTGCTGCTCACAGTGCTGCAGGCAGGAAGGGACTGGAGTGAGGCCAGGGGTTGGATTTGCCCGGGCAGCACAGGGAGCTGCCGGTTGTAAGCAGGGCAGGTGCGGTCACTCCAGACACCTGCCCTCCACCTCTGGACCTCTGCACATCCTGTTCTTCTGTCTGTTGTTTGCTCTCTTCCCACTGCTGACTTGGTTCCCCTAATTCCATCCCTGAGCCCATGTCACTCCCTCGGGGACCCCCACATTCTGGCCTGTGTGTCTCACAGCTCCTAACCCTAGGATGGGTCTATCTGGGGAAGTGGGGGTCTCTCCGACAGCGCTGTGAGGCCACCGAGGGCATCGCTGGGGAGGACAGGGCGCTGGCTCCGGGGTCCTCACACTCACAGGTGTCTCCCTCCACAGATGTCACCTGCGAGGACCCTGGCTGTCCTTTCTCCCAGCTCCCGGCACTGGCCTCGCACTTGGAGTTGTGTGAGCAGGTGTTCGGGCTCTCAGCTTCATCAGTAGCCAGGGCTGTGGCCCAGACAAACGCCTACTATGGGGCCCAGGCCCCAGGAGCCAGCCGGGTGCTGTTTGTCAATGGTGAGCACTGCGCCCGCCCGCGGGCACTGCAGGCTTCTCCCCGGCCCCGCCCAGCCCAACAGCCGTCCCTCCCGCAGGAGACACAGACCCCTGGCAGGTGCTGAGCGTCACGAGGCCCACGGGACCCTCGGAGGCTGCCCTGCTCATCCCGGGGGCCTCCCACTGCGCAGACATGGCCCCTGAGAGGCCTTCGGACCCCGCCAGCCTCCGCCAGGGGCGCCGGGTGAGTGCGGAGAGGCCCTGGTGCCGCACGCTCCCCTGTTCCTTCCTTCCGCCCGCCCTGGGTCTGAGCTGGAATTGGCCTCCTCGCAGAGCATCTTGCGGCAGCTGCAGGCCTGGCTTGGGCAGGCGCAGGAGGAGAGGCAGGTGGGGGTCCCAGCCTGAAGCCCACACCGCACCCCTCCTTCACCGCGGGACAAAAGGAAGCAGCTTGTCTAAGGAGGAAACCCGTACCCGGGTTCAGCACCCGCCCTCCCGCACCCCGCCTGTATGCAAGCCCAGCAAGGCCCGAGTAAAGGTTACGGAAAAGCCGGCGCAGACGTGTGCTCAGTGGGTGACGAGCCGCCATTCTCCCTGCAGAGCCCGCGACTGTGGCTTCCGACCCCGGGCCTCGCCGAACTCCGGCCTCAGCTCCCGGCTCCTCCTCTGGGCGCCTGGGGGCCCCTGGGTCCTGCCTGCGAGTCCTGGCGGCCCCACACTGCGTCTGTCCAGTCCCGGGCTCTTCCTTTTCGCTTTAGTTTCGGTTGTCTGGTCTTCCCGGGTCTGTCGCTATTCGTCTTCCCAGGCCGCTGTTTCTCTGGGCTTTGTCGCCTCTGCCTGCCCCAGCGGGCCTCTCTGTGGACATCAGGCCTCGCCTCGCCGCCTCCCCTTCCTCAGCTCCTCTGTCCGCTCGGCTCGCTCTGCCCCGGGCCTCTGACTCACAGTGGTCCCTGCTCCTCTCGGCTCTCCTCCCTCTTTCTCTCTGCCTGTTCCCTCCCTTCATTGTCTCCCCGCCTCTCTGCTGCCTCCTCATCCTTGTTGTAGCCGCTCTGTGCAGCTGGAGCGGACACCACAGCCGGGTGAACCGCACGGCACGCATGTGCCTGGCCGTGGTGCAGAGGCCACGGCGGCCAAAAACTAGGGGCTGTGCCCCGGGGGGGCTGGGGGAGGCCGAACCCGCTCCTGAAGCCCAGCGTGGCCGCCTGGTTGAGGGCGGAGCCTTCAGGATCCATCAGGACTCACCTGGGCACTGTCGAGACACAGGGCTTTGGGGACACATAGCCGCCTCCCCCAAGGTTCTGTCTCAGTTTTTCTGTCACTCTGTCTCCTGCCCTGTGTCACCCACTGCCACTTCTGGCGCTGTGTCGTCCTCCATCTGGAGGAGCCAGGCTTCTCTCACTGCCCCAGGGCTGGGGTGGGGACCAATCCCAAGGTCCCCAGGTCCCGTCACCAGGGTAGCCACAGGAGGAGACACCAGCCCTGCCAGCTGGAAACTGGGAGAGAAGCTGTGAACGTGATCTGTGAGGTCGGCGCCTGCCGTTCCTGCCTCCTAAACTGGAAGCTCAGATCTCCAGTGAGGACGACGGAGCCCTGCTCCCAGGGCTCCCGGGGCCAGCTAGGCCTGGTTGGATTTCACTGCAGTCCTCAGGCTGAGGTCAGACTCAGTCCCTCCCTACGCAGCCCCAGGGCTGACACCCACCAAGGGCTCTGGCCTACTGAGAAGTGAAATGCTTCTGTCCAGCCACATTCTGGGCTTGCTCTCGGGTTCCCACCTCATTTTCCAGGCTGCTTCTCTTCATCTCTTTTCACAGAGGACTGTTCAGTGTGACATCTGGCTGGGTTTGGGTTTTGCACGGGGCTGGCCTTCTCAGGGTCCCTTCTTGTGTGCTTACAGCACCAGGCCGAGCTCTAAGGCGGGCCGAGGCACAGATTGTCCTGGTGTTTGGGGTCCACCATGGGCCTGAGGTGGGCTGGGGGCCTAATGTTTCAGGGGGCTGAGCCATCTCAACTTTTCATCCACAATCCCTGTACAGCCGGCATTACTTTCTGTCTGCATCTGTATCGAAAAAGATGGGAAACTTCAATGTACTTCCTTCCGATGCTCCTGCTCAGCCTTTGGCCGAGACTGTCCGCTCTGTACTTGGCAGCCATGGTGACTCTTCCTAAAGATAAATCAAACACACTATCCCCTGCTCAGATCCATGCTCAGATCCCTTGCACACAACTATGTGATGTCCACCCTACCCCCAGGGCTACAGCCCTGGTCGCTCTGGCTTTCCAGCGCTCCTCTGAGCTCAGTCCTGTCCCCTCCACCCTGTCCCCTGAACCCTGCCTGCTAGCCACTTGACCTTATGTGCCTGTGATCTAAAATCCAAAGCTGCTTCCTCCTGCCATTTGCTGTCCCCTCTCCCTAGAGGGCTGCCCCTCTCAAGACCCTGCAGTGGCTGCTTCTGCCACTGAACTCAACTCAAATGTCACCTCCTCCAGAGCCTACCCTGATTGCCTTCACACCCAGTCACTCCCTCTCACGTTAGCTATTTTATTTTTTACAAGCATCATCCAAAATTACCTCTTTCATGTCTCACTCTGGCTCAGCACCCTGGACTGGCATGAAAGGAGCAGGAGGCCCATTTGGTAAACATCCCCCGGAGTTCCCTGCTTCATACCTATAGGGTGCACAGAGGCTTCTCCTCCACATGCTTGTCAGGCTGCTGGGTTAAAGACCTTAAAATTCTCGGCAGGACCAGAGGGGTTGGTAGATCTGTGGCTTACCTGTTTATTATTTTCATTTATGGGTGATGTCAACAATATGGGAAATTTTGAATTAACAGCAGTGGAAGCATCATGTCTTGCTGATCCCTGATGTGTCTCACACAGTTCCACCTCTAAACACGATTGAGTGACACTTTCGCCCTGAGCGCTGTGCTTGGGAGACATCTGAATCCAGACACCCACTTCCCCAGTGTACACCCCAGGGCCTGAGCAGTGCCACTTGGTGCCACTTGGTGCTCCCTCTGGAGCCCAGGCTTGCAGTGGCAAACATCGGGGTGCCCCCAGTGATCGGCAGAGGTGGTGGTGATTTCCTGTGGAGCCCCAGTACCCAGAACACTGTGGTTGGGTATTAGCCCCTAGACAGCTAAACTACCCTACACACATGATCAACTAACTCCCCATAAAGCCACCGATCCAAGTCCATAAGGAAGGGAAGTCCTTTGAACGAAGGATCCTAGAACACCTGGATAAAATTGGGGAAAGGAATTAATCACACCCATCCACAGCACACAGAGCTCTAAATGTGAGCCACCACCATCAAGTATCAAGGGGAAAATGGGAAAATATCTTCATGAACTTGCACCAGGCAAGTGTTTTTTGGAGAGGACAAAATAGAATAAAATACTTAAAAAGAGATGAACTAGATCTTATCAAAGTTAAAATCTACTCAAAAGATCTTAAGCAATGAAAAGACTGGGCTGGGGGTTTAACTCAGTGGCGCCATGCTTGCCTTGCAAGTACAAGGTCCTGAGTTCAATCCTCGGTACCAAAAACAAAAGAAATGAAAAGACTGGCAAAAAACTGAGGGGAAGAAGGAACAGCACATATATGTGACAAAGGACTTGTATCCAGATTAAGTAAAGGACTTCTGAAAACCAATAATAAAAAGAGAGGATAATAACAAATGGGCAAAGTGCTTGAGTAACTATTTCAATCTAAAAAATGAATGGCCAATAAACACATGAAAACATTGCCCAACCTGTTTAGTCAATAGAAAAATGTGAGTTAGAACTTTTGTTTCCAGCCTGAATGAGACCTGCATAGCACTCATGCAGTCCTCAGCAAACAGCAGGCTGCCCTGGACAAACAGAATGGATGGCCATAAAGAAAATTTAGGACAGAATATACAATCTCCCTGGCACCAAAGACTCCAGTATTATATACACACCTGTGCTGACTGTCCTCGGACCCTCAATCATAAACATTCCACTTCCGATTCCTTAAGATTATGGGCCACTTCTCAAACCCTATATAAACTTAATTTCTCTCCCAGCTAGCTGCTGAAATCATTCAGAATCTCAGCCCTGTCTGCATCCGAACAGAATAAATCCAGCCTTTTTCCATACAGCCTGTGTTCGAATGGCCTGTCATGCGCCATTTATAACAAAATCCACATGAAATATTACTTTATACCCAAAAGAATTACAAGCAAGCAAGCAAGCAAAACCTCTGACAAGTTCAAGTGGTGAGGAGGTGGAATACCCCACTGTTGCTAGAGAGAAAAACACACAGTCTGCTGGGCCTGTGACCAACAGGCCTTGTCCTAGACAATCTCCCAAGATAATAAATTCATGCATCTGTGATAAGATAGTATAAGATGTTTATAACAGCTTTATTCACAATAGCTAAAAACTGGAAACAATGCAAAGGTATCTGAGATAAATGGGAAAAGAAGGCGTAGTAACTTGATTTCTGGTTTTTTTGCCAGGGGGATTGAACTCGGAACCTTGCACTTGCAAGGCAGGCAGTGGCACCACTGAGCTAAATCCCCAGCCCAAGAAGGTATGATATAGTCATAAAATAAACTGCTGCTTAGCAATAACAAAAAGTGAACCACTGGAAAGTGTGAAGTCAGATAAATCTCTGAATTATTAAGTTGAGCAAAAGAAGCCAAGCACAGGACCAGACATGGTCTGTTTCTGTTTATACAAAGGTCAAGTAGAGGCAGAACTAACATCCAGTGGGGACTCGCTTGACAGCAGGAGGAAGCCAACGAATCCACTGCCAAAAAGGTACCGTGAAACTGGATAAAACTCTGAAACCACCACTTCAGGGCCTGGGAAGACATACAGCACCCTTAGAAGCAAAAAACAAGCAGGTGAGACTCCACCAGCCCAAACTTTTCTACACAACACAGGCACAACCCATAAAACAGATAAGGAACTTACAAATTCAGTATCAAAAATAAATTTTATAATCCAATTTCAAAGTAAGCAAAAAAAAAAAAAGTAAGCAAGGCCCTGAATAGACATTTTTGCAAAGGAGATATATAAATGGCCAACAGGTACCAGAAATGTTGCCTGTTAGAGACTCCGGCAGTAAGTTTCTATTGCCCACCTGCCCAGTGTGCTGAGAGGTTGAAGAAAAACTTAAGACAGTGACAAAGAAAGTTTGAACTGGAACGGCCAATGCTCCTTTGCCAAAAGGCTCTCTCCTCTGTCTCACCTACTGAATTTTATTATTTATTAATCAGAGTAAAGGTGCAATATGTGTATAGATGTGCAGTACATGTAATCACCATGGAAACCAATGGAGGCAAAGCTTTAAAGAGAAGTCAAAGCATTTTCAAATCAGAAGCAAGACAGACAAAATATGTGGTTGTAATTAGAGCACTGTCCTTCAGGCTATGAAGGCACTAAGGTGGGAACGCAGTTTGGGTGCGGTTACTCGGACCTCAGCTCCACCTGTTATCTTGTGTCAGGCCCGCAGCTTCCTAGGCCGTACTCTGGCCTCAAGGAGGCCATCAGCGTGCAGGTCATGGTGACCTGTGCGCCAGGCAGAGCCTATGAGATGCTTCTGTGAGTCACACAGCTTCAGTAAGACTCGCTTCTTAAAGTCAGTCGAGGGGTTAACTCTTTACAGCCTGCACTGCTTACAGCACACTTTGCACATAACCAATATTGCGGGTTCTGGCAGTTGCCAACATCACTAATCAGAGAAATGCCAATCAAACCAACTTCCTGTTGGGATGGCTGTTACCCAAATTGCAGGAGGTAGCAAGTGTTGGTGCAGAGAACAGGGAAAACATCATTGGCGACCATGTCAGTCGGTACAGCCCTTACAGGAAACAGTATGAAAGATCCTCCAAAAGTACAAACCCAGCCACCATAGGGGCCCCTAACCCTTTGGCTGGGTATTGACACAAAGGAAATGAAATCAGCACTTTGTGGAGATATCTGCTCTCCCGCAGTTATTGCAGTGTTATTCACTATAGCCAAGGTATGGAAACAACGTAAATATTCTTCAGCAAATGAATAAAGAAATTGTGATGGGGCCTTTACAAAGGAGATGCTGCCATTTGCAACAACAGGGAACAAAACAAACAAAAACCCTAATGAATATTGTGCTAAGTGAAATACACCAGATTGAAGAAAAATACGCTATGATCTCATTTATATGTGTAACTTAAAAATAAAATTTGAATAAATAGAAACAGAGTAGAGGGGAAGTATACTGGTGAAGTAGATTAAAGAGCACACATTTACAATTAGGTAGAATTAAGAAAAGAAGAGAGGTGGCCGGGGATTTAGCTCAGTGATTTTGCAAAATCACTGCATAAGGTCCCGAGTTCGATCCCCTGTACCAAAAAGAAGAAGGTGATGTAGAGAGGGCAGGTGACTTCTCCAGTGGGATTTTGTTCCTTTTTTTTTCTTAATGGCACCGGGGACCGAACTCGGGACCTTATGCTTGTGAGGCAGGCGGCGGAACCACTGAGCTAAATCCCTAGAGTCAGCCCCAGCCAGCCTTGGGACGAAGAGCTCCGTGAGGTGGGATCGGAATCCCGGAGGCCTCGTGTCCGCAGGGCGCTCAGTGCACTCTGCGCACAGCCCGCGGACCTAAGGTGTGCGCATGTGCACAGAGAGGGACGCGAGCCGAGCCAGCGCACGCCTGCCGAGCCAGCGCACGCCTGCCCAGAGTCCGCTCATACGCAGGCACAGCAAGCGATCTCGGGGTCCGCAACCAGACAAATGAGCCCCGGCGGGAAGCGCACAGTCTCGTCTCCGTCTCCTCGCTCTCCCCGGCCCTTCCCCTCCTCCTGCAGCTTCCGCTCCTTCCCCTTCCCTGGGTTGGATGTGGTTTAGACTTCACACTTTGGATAGAAGAAGAGGTGTTTTCCCTTCCCCGTGGCTCCTTCGCTCAGTTGGTTAGAGTGTAATGCTAACAATGCCAGAGTCGCGAGTTCAAGCCCCGCATGGGCCACTGAAGTTTTTGCTCACGCACTGATCCTGAACCGCGGACGGTGAACCAGTCTTACTCGCGAGTCTCCAGAGCGGTTAGATTCAGTCGCCTGTTACATCTTAAAGAAGTGCTGTAACTTGTAAGAGCTGGGAGACCCTTTCGAAGGGAAATGGAGCAAGGGTGCAGGCTCTTAGAGAAGTGGAGAATAGCGAGAGATAAATAACTTTCCGTTTTGTCTTGAAAAACTTTTTGGTATATGTTAAACCTTAAAAGAGAATAAATGCTCCCCTTGTCCCTGCTGGTCACCTGGTCGGGAGAGCGCGGGGTCGGGGAGTGTTCGGCTCGGCTGGCGCAGCTGTGTTCTTGTCCTACACGAATGAGGGCCGCTGGGGTCTGGGTCCCCTCCTGGGGTTTGAGTCCCCCGTGTCTCCACGAGACTGCAACGGATCGAAGCGGCTGGGGCCTGGCTCCAGTCCCCTCTTCAGAGCGAGGGACACCCTCACCCGGCCAGGGACAATGGTGGGCGTGCGGCGTAGGCTGTCCCTTTGGGAAACTGAGTCATGCAGAAAATGTTGCCCTATTTTGATTGCTTCCATTAGCAGAAACCGTAAATATTCTCAGGGGTGGAGAAAAAAAGAAGCAAGATACATCACGTACTGATACAAATTCGCTATGATGAATGTTACCATTCTGTATATATAAAATGTACCAATAAATGTTTTTCTGAAAAACATTTTTAAAAGATTAGCTAGACTAGGTATATAATTCGTTTATACTTTTTTTTCTACTTTAATGCGGATCTGATTTTTTTTTTTTTTTTTTTTTTTTTTTTTTTGGTACCGGGGATCAAACTCGGGTCTTTGCGCTTGCATAGCAGGCGGCAAAACCACTGAGCTAAATTCCCGGCCCTGATTTTTATATAGCTCTTATTCTCATCATTAAACACATATTTTAATCTATTCTACTTTGACTCTCTGGCACTCTTCATTTTTTATGTGATTTTTCATTTTTCTGAATTCTTTTTCTGAGCTCGGCAAACTTTCACTTTCCTCTTATTTTTGTCCGTTTGTTTTTATTTTTAGATTTCTGACAAAATGTGTTGGTATTTTTATTTGTATCCTCAAGTGCTAGTTTGAGACTATATTCAGCTTAGAGAGTAGTGTTAAATTTTTTTCATTTTTGGAAGAATTTTCATCAGCTAGACTGTTTTGCTTTTGTGTTGTCGCAATAGTCGCGTTGCAGATAAACTAGCGAAAACCGCAGCACTTTCGGGTGGAGCCCGCGAGCCTGGGGCGCGACGCCCCGAAAGCGCAGGCGCGAGGCTCCCGCGGGCACCGCAGGGCGCACGCGCGCTCCCGCCAGCCCGGCGGGTCCGAGGGGAGACC